AGTGGAAGACAGGTCTGTCACCCGTCGTCTTTCGCAACTGAGCTCGCGTCCATGTCTGCTTCTGCCCGCTGCACGTTGTAGCCCTCGCCTTGTCCAGGGCGTCGGTGCCTCGCTGCACGCAATCTCACATCAGCTCGCACAGAACAAAACTCTAGGGACCCCACACATCGCGCTTGTCCCCATAGGAGCGACCGTAGCGATGCAGGTGCCATTCCCTGAAGGGCATCCTTGCAAGGGGAGGCTTCTGGAGGCGCACATGAAGGCCCGCCATGCTGATATCTAGCGCACTATAAGCACCAGTTGAAACTTAACTCGCCGGGTCTGAACCACGTCACTGTGTCAGATTGCTATTGTAACTGTTAACTTGCCCCTTATTGCGTAGACACGCACCTTGCACAAAATCTTCTAGACTGACTGCTGCTGTGTAGGTCTTCTGTTTTTAATCCAGGTCCCGGGACTCGGTGGCAAGTGGTTGCAGGCTCTTCATCTTGCCCTGTGCTGTCGTTTGGCACAACTCTGCCGTTCCCACACAGATCAAAGCACAGCACGTAAAACAACGTGCAAACTATGCATCTAACTGTGCCATCCGGGTAACGTCTCAATGTGAATGAACTCGTTCTCCTGGGCTGACTCCGTGATGTAGAACCATCTCACCTTGCGGCAGACAGAGCCGCGGAGCCACGGAGCCAAGGGGCCAATCAACCTACTTGCAGTCTGGTAGCTCCAACAGCACCCTTGCTTGAGGAGACCTGGGCTTGACGCGGCCCCCAAGGCCCCCAGACTTCCCCTTCCCAATGCGCATCGAGACACCTTGACCAGACCTCCGGGCTTCATAAAGGAGCGCAGAGCTCTGAAGAAAAGTCTCATGAGGTTCTCATGGCGCCAGTTGACGCATGGATGACCTCGGAACCATTCCGGTTTCGCGGCCTTACCAAGAACGAATCACTACAGTAGGTCACTAGGTCGCAGACCGTCGAAGAAGCCACTGACGGCACCCGCGTGAGGAAAGTTGTAGTACACTGCACCGAGGCTGCCCTGTGAAAGCAAAGCTGCCGCTCAACAAGAGGTTCTGAAAGAATCCAAAAACAAAAAACAAAGGCGCTCCGGTAGCAACGGTTCAGACAGTCTTGCCAGTTGCTTGTAGATGACACTCAAGGTTCATAGGAGAAGGGTTGCAGTGGCCTCCATGCCGTGGAACCGGCTGTCAACTGCAATCCGAGTGCAGTCCACACCATGGTAGACCTGCTGCCGCAGACTTGCAGATGTCCACGCCACGGTCTCCACACCTCACGGCTCGCGGAAGTAGCAGCAGGCCTCGGAACAGAGGTCCTCCAGCGTCTTGATTGTAGAATCGATTTCCTGGCAGCTGTATGATCACAACAGGAATCCGGTCAGCGACGAAGCGTTTTCCGATTTGGCGAACACTAAAACGCCGGAGTTGTGAAGCCGCGGTAACAGTGCATCAAACATCACGACGCTCAGGGTTCGTCATGCGTAGATGCAGACGTTTTGCCTGGTAGCGTTCTCGAAGGCATTCGAGGGTCTCAAACGTAGTTGCAATGACTCTTCCCACATGGCCCAGTGCCTGCACGAATTGCCCGGGCACGAGACCGAACAAGCTACATTACATGCTGACATCGGGGATGTGACCTCTCGGTGCTTTGCCAACATCAGTGCCTCAGTAGCAAAGAAGGCGGGAAGCTGCATGGTCGCGAGGTCGCGCGAGTGTGCCGCCAAGCCACGAAGCTAAGGTTAGCATCCCCAAACACCGCAGCATCTGCCAAGGGATCAATGAGCTCAAGCCGGTTGAACCTGAGTCAGAGATAGTCGGAGAAATGGTCGAAACCCTTCCGAAGCAGGTCGACTGCTCAAAGCTCCACGTCCTGATTTGATCCATGATCCAGGCGGTGCTCAACATTATCTAACCCTATATGCCCATCAACTCGTCCCGTCAAACTGGCATGAATGACATCTTCGATGCAAGCGGCCGCGAGATCACATGCACTCCTGGCTCATCTGGCAGAGTGCCTTCTGTGATGGATTCGTCAACCACGGAGGCACTGGCCTGTGGGAGGAAGTCCTCAACGATATGGTGTGTGCGACATGCTCCATAAACTGCAGTCAAGCCGGCATGCCCCGATGTCCTCAAGCGATGTATCGCCGTTGAACTCCTGTTCGAACATTGCAAGAAAGCCCGCCTGTACTACGAGTGCAGTGAAGTCATCCCTCCTGCATGACGTACCGCAGCTCTTTGTGAGTCATTCTTCGTAGCATTGCCTGCGGACGGACTGCAAGGTAGAAGTATAAGTTCTTCTCCCGCGGCTATCGAACTCTCTTGCCTCCTCATCCACGTTCATTTTCCATCTGTGTCTGAATGACAGAACAGAATCAGCAGATCCACCACCCGGGCCCACTCCTTAGGTGCAAGGGGTCTTCAGCCCTTTCCGACTTGGACTTGGCCACTTGGCTACTCCCCGCCCAGCCACGCTCTTTGATTGCGGCAATCTGGCAGATGATCAGCTCTCCGGGGCCTCGCATCCTCGGTGCGCATACCCCGCTCCGCTCCGCATCGCTCCGCCCGTCCTTTATCTCTCAATTGCAGCATGGTGCTGATTGAACTTGTCGGGGACGTAGGAGTCGTCCAACAACTGGTAGAAGCGATATGACAAGGATGCAGCACGTGCAACATGTGCAGCTCAGCCTTAAGCTCGTCCGGCGTCAGGGTCTCTAGAACGTGCCTGGTCACCTTGTCCTCCGTCCAGGCGCGAAGACGGAATGACACAGTGCGACGGGCTCGTGCAAACAAAAAGGTGGTGTACCCACAGCCGGATTCGTGGCCCTGGAAGGTTGTTGCTGGGGTTGAAGCGCTCTGAGGTTCAAGTGTTTGGAGAGACAAGCCTTGAAACGTTGCAAGCCTGCTCTGACATATTCCACCATGATCTCTCCTGTAGCAGCCCCCAGCGGGTCAGCAGCTGCTGGATTCTGGCCTGCCGCAGCATGCTCTTGGGCCCGAAAAAACGAGAGTATGTTCTTGAGAACAGCCGGAGATTGGCCTCATCAGCCGCGGGAGTTGCTGAGTCCTGGAGAACCAATTTGGGCTCGCGCAACAACCCCAGCCGTTTGTTGCCTCGCCTTTTTGGTACGCCGCTTCTTGCCGTTCAGAGCCTCTTCTGGCGCCTGCCAGCAAAGGACTGATTGCGGGCCCGGTCAGGTTTACGACTTTACGCCATTCTCATGTTGTGGCTTGTGGGGGCGGCCGAAGGTGCTTCTGCTGAACTCGCACTGTCTGTTAAAGCTCGGCGCTGCGCCTCGTCGTCTTGAGACAGCAATCGCTTGAGTCGCAAGGTGCCTGAACAGGTCTCTAAATCGGAGATGCCTGATTCCAAGACCATCGAAGGCAGAGGGCTGCGAATTGAAACAGCTTGGCGAGGCCTTCAACTGCATCCATGAGGTGATCTTGCACTCCTTCGTTGTCCTCACGTGCAATGGAGCTACGGAGGCCAAGGTCCGGCAAGCTCCTGCAAAAGCTGCCTCATCTTCGTCGTCATCCACGACTACGGCCTGATGGTCAACGCACACCGCAATGCAACATACATCAACATGCTGCAACCAGCGCCCTGCTCTTTTCGTCCTTTTCTCAAGCAACGGCAACGCGCACGGCGCACCTCTTGGCCTTCCTCCACACCGAGCTCGGCGAGGACCTCCTCCTCGAGCTCCAGCTGCTCCTGGGCTGAAAAGAGAGAGCACCATCAAACAGGACATGGCCAATTGCCGGCAGCTCCTCCGGGAGCTCCTGGAGCTCCGCCTGGAGCTCACCGTCGGCCTCAGCGGCCTCAACCAAAGCTTCAGCCAGCTCGGGGTCCTCAGGACGGGCCACGCATGGCCACGTACCCATGTGCTGCACTCCATGTCGCCGTCCTCTGCTAGGGCGGCTTCTGCCAGCAAGAGCTCTTCGACGGCATTGCCATCCTCAGCAGCCTGGACTCCGTCCACGACTTCGGACTCCTGCCGAGTGTGCGAGGCGTCGTGCAGTAGGCTGCATGTTTTCGGCTACAGCAACTGCCTCCAGAGCTTTCTCAAGATCACCGTCATGATACTCCTAGAGAAATCATGAGAAATCCCACTACCGGGAGTCCGCAAGACTCGAGTGCTGCCAAGATGTAGAGGCCCGCACCTGAACCGCTGCTACATCCACTCCGCTTTCAGAACTCATCTCGAAGACCTGACAGGGTCCGCCACCGTGCATCACAGCACTTCGGACAAGATACAGATGCAAAGGTCCGCGGCACCTGCCTTGCAGCTCCGCGTGTGACTCTGAACTTCGTTCAAAGCTTCATGTCCATTGCTGTCAACTCACCCATAAACTCGCTGCTTTGAGATGCCCCCTTTCGCCTCGCTGACCTACGAGTATAACGAAGCTGACATCACGAGTGATCGAATCTTCCAGTATCTTCCAGTGTTCAGCTGACACACAGCCCTGGCAAAGTTACGTTGGACATAGGTCTTGAGATTGAGACTTTGCGGTTGCGACAATCCAATCGCCTTGACATCAGGAACAAGCTTGGCAAAGCGGCTTGGCTAGCATGCTCTGAATGCAAGACCGGCATTCTCATTGTCGTGCTTCTTTGCTCTGAGCTTGTGTCAAGACTGAGCTTCATAAAATGCCGAGGAGGCATGTTGAGCTGGTTCTAATCCTGACTACAGCGCGTCCATCAACTCAGGTGATGAGGTGGAGGCGCGGGGAAAGCAAACCAACTGCGGCTAATCAGAGCTGATTGCTTCTCTTCCGCAGCGAGAGAACTAGCTGCGCTTGTCGGTGAAACCATGTGCTTATGGTCATGAAGACTTATCACAAGGGATCAGCCTCATGCTTCAAGGATTAGCAGAAAAGACCGCTAGAAGTCTTCAGGACACATGCGGAGCTGCGTCGTCGAGGCTTTGAGAGTAGTTCGAAGAGACACGTGAGGAGCAGGAAGTCACGAGGCCATCCGAGGAGGAATCTAGCCTCGAGAATCAAGCACACTCCAACGGCACATCCCACCAAACAATGCCCTGCCGCCTTTGCCATACGATTTTCCACCCATCATTGGCCTCCGCTCAATGTCGCGTAGGACCGGCAAACATGCACAGCATCGCTGAGAAAGATGCATCTTGCCACCCATCATGGGTCCTTTACCTGTTCACAAGTCACGACAGTGAAGCCATCGTCCAGTACTGATTAGTGCGCACGCAACAGAGGACCAATCTGCCGTGCCTCCACAAAGGCCACCTTTCCCACCGAAGCCCTAAGAAGTGCACGGCAATAAATGACATGCCTGCAATTTGAGAGAGGGACTTCCGACAAGCTCTGAGACTCTTACGCCTTTGCCCATGCAGCCACAACCTCCTTTCCCACCGCATGGACCGGGGCCACAGCCCCCGCAGCAGCCTCCACCACCGCCATATCCTCCAGACTCGCCACCATACCCGGGACCATTTGGAGGGGGGCCGCCAGGAGGACCGCTCGGAGGACCGCAGCCGCTGAGCTCGCCAAAGCAACAACCCCCTCCCTTGCCGCCCTTGCTTCCGCAGGGCCCGCAGCCACCAGGGAAACCTCCTGGCACATCAAAGCGCACGGCCTCATGCCCTCTGCCTATGCCACAAAAACCTGCCAGCCTCCACATCCGCAGCCACCTTTGCCTCCTGATCAGCATAAGACGTGGCATAGCATCGTCTGAGCGACTTGACACAGATTTGTCTGAGCCGGCAAAGCTCCTTTCATGTCTCCTTTCATGTCACCCATCATCATGCCACTTGGCGGAGGCATGGCGCTGAGTGGTTTGGGTGGACCTCTGCGAGTTTGGCTAACACAATTCACACATTCAGGAAGGCGCTGCAAACTTGGTGCCTGCAGCCTTTGTGAAGGTCTTGTTTTGCATCTCCTCTTTGGTCGGAATGGCCTACAGGGATACCAGCTGCTGTCAATCCAGCATGGGCGGGGAGTGCAAGAGGTACAAGTACAAGTCCAACCTGCATCTTTGGATGGCCTTCCTCACCACATGATATGCTACGATGAACCCATCGCATCCACAGAAGGTAACACAGCTGTGCACTCTGTGCGCTAGTGTCCAGACACGAATAATTCAGCTAGAGGTGCTGCCAATCCGGGCACAGGCACTGGCACACCCATCATTTTGGGAATGCCTTCCTGATACTTGCAGAAAGCATGAAGCGTCCTTGTGCGACTCCATGCACCACTTACCACTGGCTGTGCGAACAAGGCTCTAAGCCAGGACAACCACCGCAAGGGCCGCCAGCACCGCAGCCAGCGGGCTCCGCTGGCGGCTGTGGCTGCGGCTGCGGCTGCGGCTGCGGCTGCGGTTGCGGCTGCTGTTGCTGAGGCGGAGGCTTGAAAACAAGGGCCGCAGTGGCCTGTTCCAGGAACTCCTGGCAGAAAGGCTTCCAGGATGCACAAAACAATCAATGTCGGTGCATTTCTGTCCTGCTGCGCCTCTGGGGCGACCTTCGGAAGCCACCTTTGATAGCATTGCCACAACTGCTTGACTGCCAAGAAAAACTCGTGGTGCTCTGCGCTTGCACTTGTGATCCGGTGGTTCTGCCGGAGCACTCCGACATGATCTGCCGCATTTCTTCAGCTGCCTGGTCTTTTCCCATCAGGGTATTTCGGACGGTCTCAATCGCCTTGCATAGAGACGCAAACTCAACGCATTCCCTGCGGAATGCCAGGCCCATAGATACTCGGACCAGGCCTTCGAAACTCGAAAGCGAGCTACTTGTTCTTGCTGCTTCCTGTCGTGGCAACATGACATCAGATTTGTCCCCCGACACGCGCAAGAAACACTGCAGAGAGCTTCGAGCCTCTCTAGATCAGTCATCTGATTTTCTGCCTTTTTCAAGGCCTCTTCGCGCTCTCTTTTCAGAGCAGCCTCTTTCTCCTGTCGTCAGGGTGCCAGAGCAAGGGACTGCCTAGCGGCTAGCGGTCCTGGCCTCTCGAGCCTTTCGATCCTGCTCGGCAATCTTGTCGGCATGGTTGCGGTGCGTCCAGTTGAAAACCTCTCCAATCGGCTCTTGCGCACATGCTGAAAGACTTGACCCTCGTCTCTCTAACTTCAAATCGTCGGCGGCTGTCCCTTGAGGATAAGACTCGGAAACATCCCATGCATCCAGAGGAACCGTTGCCGGTCGCATTGGTGCCGCCATCATCGGTGCAGGCGCCGCCGCCGGCATCGGCGCAGACGCAGGCTCAGGTGGCGGCGCCGGCGCAGACACCGGCTCGGGAACCACCTTACTGGACACCAGCGGCCAGAGGGGGATGTAGAATGCCAAGTAATACAGCGTAGTATAAGGCGAGGTTAAGTCAGGTAATGTAATCTGCATGTATTGTTCATTACGTGCTTACGTGTTCGTGTGTGTGTGTGTATATATATATATATATGTATGTACTGTATGTATGTATGTATGAATGAATCAACAGCACATGAGCAGACCAAAAACACTTAAACAAACAAATGCACAAACACTTGGTACCCATCAAAACACACGCCAGAGCTCGTTTTACATCCAAACAGAACAGTTCCGACACCGATTCGGCTTCTGGATCGGGGTTTGGGGGCAGTAAAACAAATGTCTATACTTTTTCTCAAAACACATTGGATGAATATACAATCCCCACACATGTGCTAGCACTTGTGATTGGAGTTCCTAGCACCGCTAGCCGCCCGCGGTAGATGCGGCAGTTGTGGCTCCCGCCCTAAGGCAGTGTGCCCTAGCGGGACTAAACTTGCATTCATTTCCTCAGTCCCGCTCGGGCAAATGCAACCAAGATCAAAACTCTGGCCTCGACTCTTCTTTCCTCTTGTCTGGTTTCGGACTTATCCTTCCGATCCTGGCAAGCTTGGCAAGTGCTCACCGTGTGCAAGGCATCTGAGATGGCCTCGTCTTTCTGCGCTCCTAGCACGAAGCCAACAAGCGGCCGGTCCTTGGAAAACAAAGGGCCTCGAGTGCCCAGAGCTGTCCTACGTTCCTTCAGCCTCAAGACCTGGAAACCCGAGCTTGAAGATTGACTTCTAAACAGCCTTGCAGGAATCAGGAAGAGTCGGAGGGAGGGGAGGCACGGCTTTGGGGGGGTGGCATAGCGGCAAATTCAGTACGTACTGCTGCTTCTGGGCGGCGACAGTCTTTGCGCGCGGAGCCTTCTGTTCGCGGTTCTCCCGGCGCTCCTAGAACGTCCGGGAACAAAGCGCTAAAAGCGGCTAAACCACCAGCAAGGGAGCAACACCTGAAACCACCTGAAACCTTCAAGAAGCGAAGCTCGAGCCTTGGGTGGGGACGGCGGCTCCGGGCTTGGCTGCCGCTGCTCCTCAAACGATCGCGCGAGCTTGCAGGCCGGCAGAGGCCCTCTGCTCTGATCCCCGTCCTCCTCCGGAGGTGAAGGTGGTGGCTTCGGTGAGTCTTTTTCAGGCTCCTCCTCGCCGGAATGTCTTTCAATCTGCGAACCCAAAATGCGAAACAGCCCCCAAGCCTCATCCTCGTCTTCCTCCTCCTTGTCCTTCTCCATTGATGCATCGGCATCCTGTGAGAAAAAGCACCAGGCTCGACTGTGAGTGCATCAAAGCTGCTGCCTCGTTCTTCTCTTCCCTCTCATCGCGTTCATCCTTCTCGTCCTTCTCATCAGTCTCATCCTTCTCGTCCTTCTCATCCTTATCCTTATGACTTATGAGTTCAAGCAGTGAGTCGCACACAGCTTGGGATAAACCCTTGCAGGCTGAGCTTCATCCTCCTCCTCTTCTTCCGGCTTCTCCTGACCCACAGTGCTCATTCTTAGCGACATCTTGATGCCCTGTGCGAAATGCCTGTGACTTGCCGTTTCCTCAACCCTGCCCGGAAACTAAAGACCTCCCAGGCCTCCATGGCAGCATCCTCTTCCGCGTCGACCTCCGCACCTTGAAGCAGCATGATTGGGCTTGCTCAACAGCACTTGCTTTCTTGGGCGCACCTTCTCCTCCCTTGGAGCACTGCGACCTTGGCATCTCTGACCACAGCAATTAGTGTAACCCGCTGACAAGAAGTCGCCCCCCCCCCCATCTACTTTGCCCAGCTACAAAGTGAGCACAGTAGTCGCGATTGGCTTCAAGCCGAGGCACAGGGGGCGGAGGCCGTGCTCTTTGGCCTTGGCCTCCAAGGCTGCTCCGGCCTCGTCCTGGAGCTCTGCCTCGAGCTCGCCTGCAGAGCGATGCAGAGCGCAGAGGCTCCGAGTTTTGGGAGTTGGCTCCGCTTTCTCGCGCCTGTGAGCGGGAAGTGCTCGCTAAGAGCCGTCTCCAAGGACTGCAAAGCCTCAATTCTTGACACATCTTCCATATAATTACTCCGACATCTGCGAAAGCGTAACTCAGTCCGATCCGACGACCAGAGTGAGACAGAACTCGCAACTGCACATCCCGTGCGCCTACAAGATGAGACATGAAGCAGGGGATAAAGCACACAGCCCGCCTCTATGATGGTTTCAGCATCGCAGCTTTTCATGCCTTTGACAGCTCTCAGGACCTTGCAACACTGCAGAGAAACTGCACGCACAGAAAACTTACACGTCTCCTGGCCCATTACGGTTGAAACCGACATCTGTGCGACCGACCTTCAAAGATGCCTTTTGGCTCACCTGCCGTGGCAAGTGCTTTTTCTTGCTTGAAAAGTAAACAGCAGACTACCCATCCGGCAGGAGGTGAATAGTGCCGGAGACTGGCGAAGTCGCAACGCTCCCTTGACCACCTGCTCCTTCTCCTCGTCGCTCATTTCCTCGAGCTGGGCCTCGATGGCCTCGCCATCCGGCTCCTGCAAGCGCTGGAAAAGCCAAGCGGTTCGCCGCCTCTTCTTATTGGCTTGCAAGCATCTTCCTAGGCGACAGCACCCTTGCAATCAAGCTCGTGAAACTTCCACCGTCGAATGAGATCGCGGATCTTTCTGGGGGTGACAAAGGGAGCCTCCCACGTGCATTGCTCTCTGCCTCTTGGTTTCGGTGGGTCAAAGGACGAAGGAGGTTCCTTTGTCCCGGAAGCTTGCACACACCCACATTGCTGTCTCTCGGAAGGGACAAAACGTGAGTACCCAACTGTACCGTACGTTGAACAGAAGGTGGTATGACCGGGCGCTTGCAAACACGCGCTCCTCAAGGGTTCTCCTTGCCCCAAGCTTCTCGAGGTCTTCTGTGAAGGTGCGGCTCCTCATAACCCGGCTCTTTCACGAACGAGAGAGAACAAGAACGAGCAGCACCAGGTCTACATGGCCGAGCTGCTGTGTAGCGCATTCTTCAATCTTGCCTTGGGGCACTTTTTGGTCTGTCTGACGACATCTGACGATAGAAACTCCGCCTGCTCGTTAAGCCTTCGACGCTCCAGCTCGGCCACTTCCTCCTCTTGCTTCCTCTGCTCCTCAGGTCGATGCTAGTGAGGAAATCCCTGCTGAGCTGCTACGCCACGCTGCCTCTTCCAGCACGGCCTTGGCTGATCTGCTCTCCTCCTGCAGAGCTTCCACCTGTTCAGCGGTTCTCCGAAGGCTTCGGAGTCTGGCGGACTCTAGCGGCTTAGCGGGCCTGCGAGTGAAGCTCCTGGCTCTTTTGTCGGAGGCCAGCACCTGATGAGACGGGACGTTACCAGTACTTGCAGACACGGGCCTACCAAGTGCATCAAGCCACGGCGGCTGGTCAACGACTCCTTGCGCGAAGTCATGGGCTGTGGTTCTTAACTTCAACAGAAACCCCAGCGCGTGAAATTCACTTTGTGGGACTAGCCCCCAAATCTGCAAAGTCCAAAAAGTATGTGAAAGTCAAGTCAAACAAACTTCCAAAGGTCCTGCTCTTCGCCAAACTGACGATCAAACTCGTCAATGTCTTTCTGGACGCTGTCCAACTTTCCTGCTGCACGCTTGCTGCCGCAGCACATTCCTCCACAGCTTTTGCGCGCCTTGTCTGTCCGCCTCGATTCGGCGAAGCTCCGACATTTTCTCCTGGAGGACACGTCAAGGAATGGGCGGCACAGCTGATGACAAACAGAGAGAAAGAGAGAGAGCGCGAGAGTCAAACGTGTCAGTCTGCAGTTCAGCTCCGTTCCTTGTGACGCTTTTGCTCCTGGCGTACAAACATCACAAAAATTGGCTGCCACTCTGCCATGCTTCGTTGTGTTTTTTCAAAAGCATGCAAGCATGGCCTTGGCCATGGCTTTCCGTGTCTCTTCGAGCTCGGACTTGAGCTCTTCCTTACTCTTCTCTCTGTTTTCCTCGGTTTTTCGCAAGGGCAAAAAGGAGAAGGAGAGCGTCGTTTTGTGAGCAGAGTTCGCGATTCCTTTTCAACTCCAAGTCACCGCCTCCTGACGGCGCGTCTCTTCTTGGTCATTCCACCTGAGCCGTGGCAGAGCCGTTGCTGGGCTGGCATATAGACATGTGGACAGGTATCGCAGGCGCAAGATCCACAAGATTAAAATCCGCTGAGCCAAGCTAAGTGTTGTTTGCAGCGCTGTGTTTCTAGCATCCGAGGACATACTTGCACAAGCGAGATTGCAAACGAAAGGCTTGGCTTGAGAGGCTGCTTCTTCGCTTTGCAGTTCCTCGCACTCTGCTTGGAGTTCGGTCAGTCGTCGTTGACCTCACTTCCGAAGTTCAAGACAATCGTGGCATCGCAAGGCTTTCTGGCCGCAAGAGCAACCGCGTACAGCCCAGTTTAGGCAACGACGATCTTCCTCCTCCTGCTCCAGGCGAGCAGGGAGCTCAGAAGACTTCTGCACCAAAACCTGGCAACGTTCGCGGCTCTGGCTCTTGGATACGGCGCAGCATTGCAGAAGCCTCCTTTTGTCTGCTAATTTCCGCAGACTCGGATTCCAGGGCGGCAATTTGCACCTGCACAAGCTGCAACCTCGACAACCACGACCCAGGGCATCCTGCTAAACGACGTCCCTGCCTGCAGACCTTGACAGCAGCTGTGGTTTACTGACCACTGCAGCTCTGGCTGACTCTAGCTGATACGCACGCACACACACACACATCGTAAATGAAGAATCAGACATGAATGCAGCCGAAGCAGCTTAAAGCTTTGATTTCAGCCTTTAGCAGCTGCCTTTTGGCGCGCCTGAAACAGGAGACGTCAGGTCCGGACAATCGGCAACGCTGGCTGTGCTCGCTTGTGACATCTAACAACTCGGCAACTTGGTGGACGCCTGTCTCTTCTGAGCTTCTCGGCGATCTCCTCAACAACACAAGGGTCGGAGCAGCCATAAACACTGCCACAGCACACCCACCTTCTCAGACTTCCCGTTAGGCGGAACAGGCGCCTGCCGCATGCACAACGAGCTGAACCGAACACGGCATGTTCACAAATTATGCCAGATGAGTTGCCTCGGCTTAAGTTTTCATCGACACTTTCATGCAGAAACATCAAGTTTCCATGAGCCGGACCGGGGCTGCACCGCAGAGACTCGTAACGTGGACCGATGCCTTACTGGGCGGAGTCTTCTTGGTGTCCTCCTCCTCTTCCTCGTCCTGCAGATGACAGCAGCAGGGCAAAACGGTTCTGGCGATGAGGTGAAGGGAAATGTCCTCCTTCTCGTCCTCGTCCTCATCGTCCTGCCACAGCGCTAGCCAGACGCTAGACTGGAAGCCATGTCTTGTTGCGACATCCCACTTGAAACTGCCTCCTTCTTGTCATCCTCCTCCTCTTCCTGTTCCTGCACCAACAGGTTGCCAGCAAATTAAGTGAGACATGCACCCTCCTACCAAAGCTTCTGCACGCCTCCTCTTCCTCTTCATCATCTTCATCGTCGTCATCTGATTCTCTCTTTCCTCGCATGCACAGGTATGCTCCAATGGATGATGGGTGTCAAACCACCCAACACCTCGGTCCTTTTCGTTTACCTCGAGCAGACTTCTCGTCACCCTTTTTTCTGTTCTTTTTGTCTCCCTGTCGGGGTCGTTTCCTGCTCCTGTGCTTCGGGTGCACAAAGTTACATCAATGCCCCGACATGTCTCGACAGTTCACTCGGCAGTGCTGCACACTGCAACTCCTCTGCTCAGGTTCAGAGGATTCTTGACCTCGGGATGACGGAAGCTTGCTGCAATGCCACGGACGCATGTACAGCAGAACATGAGCCGTTTACATGGGACACTTGACAACAATGCCGAGCTACTATCGTCTTGATCGCCGGTCCTCCGGCGCTGGTGTCTGATGTATGCAGTCATGCGGAGCCGCATGCGGAGCCGCGAGGCTTCAAAGCGCTCCTGTCATCCCTGCGATCTCCTCGCCGGCCTTCTCTACGACCACGGTCGTCACGGCGGCGGTCGTCGCGACGATCCCGGTCATCCCGGCGATCTCGGTCGTCGCGACGATCACGGTCATCTCCTCGGTGCAGCTGTCAGCTGCGTGCATGCAGAAGACGGAGGGTCCTGTCTTGCCGCAAAGCGATTGGGCAATTCCAGGGGTCCTGCTCTGCGACAAGCTATTGGGAAAGTAAGTTGCAGGGCCCCTGCTGGTTTAGCAGCGAAAGATGTTGAGGAATTCCAATTTGTTGAGTCCGGCTTTGCAGCAAGTATTTGGGGAATTTCAACTGCAATCGGTGAAATCCTCCAATTGCAGAATCCTGTCTTGGGGCAAGGCTGCTGGAGAGGTGCAATTTGCGGGACTCGTGCCACTGGGGAATTCCGTTGAAGGGTCCTGATGTGCAGCGTTTGCCTGGGGCTTATTGCGTCTGAGGGAAAAGATCGGACAACCTGCACTCAATTTTTCAAGCTTTAATTGGTCTGCAAATATGATGCGCGGACGAGGGTCTTGAAAAACTGGTGCCGTCAACTTTTGCAAACGTGGTGATGGGAGGTGAGTTTGTAATTCTTGCAAGGGAGGGTCGCAGCTACCCTTCATGAACTAATCGTGCATCGACTTTTGTGAACGTGGTGATGGAAAAACTCGGCAAGCAGAGCAATACACAGGAAGCGGAAAGGAGTGAAAGGAAGGTAGAAAAAGCAGAGAAGCAACAAGCAGGAATCAGGAACAAAAAGGAGAGCAGGAAGCGGAAACCTGACATCGGAAAACAAACGCAGGATCCAACAACCAGGACACATGGGGCAAGCACCAATGATGAAAGAACGATGCCTCAAACGTGATCTACTCTAGTACGCATATGGCCAGACTAAAGACAGGTCACAGGAGAATTTGATGGCATCCAGGCTCCGATCTTGCTCACGGCTCGGCTTCCTACGTATTCTATCCTGCTAGAAAGCAGGCCTGAAGCCTGCAACCCAGCTCCTTCACAAAGCGCTGACAACTTACTATCCAAGGGGCGCCGCGCATCGTCTCTGCGGGCATATCTGCCTCGTCTCCGGTCGTCGTGGCGTGCTCCGCCTCGACGTCGATCGTCTCGCCGATCGCCTCAAGGCTCCCCATGGTTCCGCACGCCTTCGGCCACCCTGAAAGCAACGTGCCTCAGCCCCTGCACTGCCCTGCACCCCTCCACCGTCCAGCAAACTGAAGTCAAGCTGCGCGAACGCGATCGCCTTCGAGACCTAGTTCGCGACCTTTCCCCATGACATGAAGAGGCGTAAGCTGTTTCACTTGAAGTACCAGTACCAGTCACAGGCCTCTGTCGCCTGCCTCGAGGCTCCTCCTCGTTTTTGGATTTGGCCTTCAGACTTCAGATCTTTAAGCACATGTGGAGCTATGTGGACCGGCTTTCCTCATCATTCCATTCAAATCCAAATCCAAGAAGCAGGACGTTTTTCGTCTGCAGCTTTTTTCTCTCTGGGAGATTGGCTCTCCTCCTGTGCAGGGACATCCGTCAATCCATCAGCAAATACGCGAGAACTCGTGGAATGCCCTTGGACACAATTTGATAAACTTCATGCAGTTTAACAACAGATGGCTTCCAGACAAAACATGGCACCTAGCAACAAAGAAGTGGAAACCACTCTTGTGACCATGTGACCCAGACCTCGGCATCAGAACTTGCCTGGGCTTGCACTGCAAGGGCGCAAGGGTGTAACTGGCTGCGAATTCTGCGAGTGCTCTTCGAAAACCCGCAAACAACTCGCAGCTCCGGCCCAGGTGCGTCTGACTTTGCTTTTTTCTTCTTTGTCGCCATGACGAGGACTATAAGCTAACCGCAAAGAAGTGAGCAAAAATGCTTCATGACACAGGGTCAATGCATCTCCTTGCATCGCGACGCAAGCCCCTTGCACCTGGCTCAAGAGACGGGCACGGCGGACTTGATCACTCGCCACTCGCGGTCGCAGGTCAAAAGCGCTCACCCTCACCAGTCCCAGCAAGTTGCTGAGGCCCGGCTCGGCAAAGTCTAAACGTTTGCAGTGGGAAGCAGTGGGACCCTTCACGGCTGAGAGCATGGCTGGGCCATGCCCTGGGTTCACTGTCGGAGCGCCCTGTGCACAATCATTGGCGCACAAACTATGTTCGCGTTGCCCGGGGGAGCATTCGCTCTTTGTATAAAAGTTGGACTGGGAGTCAACTTGTAATGCTTCCCCTGACTCAAGGCTGCCCTGCTGAGCTATGAATACAAAGGGCAGGCCACTAGAACCCGTGTCAACCCTCTCCATGCCTCGTGTGGCCAGAGACAGAGTCCTTCGGATCTCAGAAAAAGGCTCTCGAGCTCGAGGTAACTCCAAGATGCCAGGCAAAGCCAGGCACATGCCCTGAATGGACAGCCAACCACGTGGCCTCTGTACAGCATCCGAACGGATCAGAAAGGATCAGAATGAGACTAGAGCTTGATCTTGGCGGGATCCCAAGACGAAGGATCGAACATGCTGTGAAGCCCGTCGAACATACTGGAAAAGGTTGCGCACATGCCGCTCGTCAGCTGTGTTTCCAACTCCCCGTTACCAACATAGTTCTTCCGCCACATCACCCGTGGCTCGTCCGACTCGTAAGGCCTTCGGCCGTGCGCGACGGCACGATTGTCGATAACCAGGATCTCCCCCGGCACCAGAGGCACCACCAGCTGATGCACCTCCGAATTTAAAGGCACTAATCGACATCTGATAGGGCAAACAAACGGTTGACCGGCTACCCCTCCGTGCCTCTTTCCGGGCGACCGCATCCATCTGCTCGTAAGAAGGCTTCACTTCTTCGGCCACATCGCCGAGGCAACCATCATTGCAGCGCCAGCGCACCTGTAGCCACCCAGAGTCTTTGTCTACCCAGAACAGAGGTATGGAGCTGACTTTCATCCAGGATCCATCTCCGGCTGGTCTGCGGCCCATAGAAACCATGCCGGGCTGCATCAACGTTCTCAGTTCCTCGTTGGAGAGAGCCGCCACAAGATCCGCGCCAGAAACCAGCACAGACTCACCGCCACCAGAGGGGGCAGATTGGCGACACTGCAACGTAAGGAACCTTAGTCTCCCGAGGTCCCAAAAACAACGCTGCGCGACATGGTTCATGATCTTGAAGCCGGAATGTATCTGTGGTAGAACTGCCCTGCAGTCCGCTCTAAGAAAGTGCTTTCGATGACAAACTGACCAAATTGCACCGAGGAGCGCGGAAGGGCTATCTGTGTAAGCGTCGTCCGTGTGAGGCAAGTGTTCCTTCTTCGGGTTCGCGGTGTTGATGCTGGTCGGCTTGGCGGGATTGATCTCTACGATGCCAAACTCATTCATGGCATCATGATGTATGTAGCGACCGAACCATCGGTCCAAAGTCTTGTATGCTGGCAAGCCATCGTCAAAGTCTTCTTGAACGAGAACAGTAGCACCGTATCGATTCATCATGAAAACGAACTCGTGCTGCTCTTCGTCCGTGATTTTTGCGATGGATTTCACTCGTAACCTTGTATACAAACCAAACTCACGACAAGCTGTTGATAGAAAGCCAATGACACTGCACAGGTGCACAGCTACAGATAGACAGAGACACGTGCAGAAAGCTTGCAAACAGACTGAACATTCTCTGGCTGATCCTTGCACATCACGGTAACCGGAGCGTGTCTGGGTCGTTCGGAAGCACTTTCAAGTCATCACGAGAGCCATCACGTGGCAAGACTTCTTGCAAGGGTACCGCGGGTTTCCTCGATTCACCTGTCATGCAGAAGCCATTGCGGCATGACATGCAAGCCAGTTGAATCTACCCTGCGAAACCTTGCTAAGGTCGGACCCTTTGCAGCAGGACCTGCGCTCGAGCTTGCTTCCGCCATTTTGCTGAAATGTCTCATTTGCCCAGTGCCGCATGGCGGGTGCTCGGGAAAGCGACTTCCCAACGCAGCCACTCCAGGCACTCGGGATCCACGCCGGAGCGCTTGTAGAAGCTTCATTCCGCCCTCGATAAGTTGAACCTCATCACAGAGACTGCAGGTCGCAGGCACAGACACAGCTTGAAACACTGGCTGAGGCCCACACTGGTGGCACGTGAAATCAGCACAACACCATGATTTTCATACCATGATTCTTGAACATACAAACAGCATCTGAACATGCATACGATTTTGGCAGCATTCAATGCACGAGAAACTCAAAGGTTCTGCAGCCCAAAATCAGCAACTGCGGCATGATCCCGAAATTTAGACTTTTCGAATCTTCCGGCTTTGATTTCGGACTTCTGCTGCGCAGTTTTGATTTCGCATGCTCACAAGACACCAAACACAATTGGATTCACATCGGAAGGCACACAGCTACATTGTGGTTTTGATTGCTTTAATTTCTCATGCCGACAGGCGAAGAGACAACACGTACATCGCAACTGAACACTGCCCATGCAGGATGTGAGACTGATGCACACGCACTCCCTCGTTTTCGAAGCGTAAGAAAAGGGGTGCGAACTGGAATCAAGCAGCAACCTACACGGATTCACCTCGACCACATCGTGGCCGCATGAATGAGTTGAAAGCCTGAACCAGTCAGGCGTTCGAATGATCCTGCAAGGTATGGGGCGGCAACATCCTGCAAGATGGCAGTGATGCCATGCGTTGACTGCGTGTTTTGTGGTCCGGCACATCTTGTCTGCCATGACAAGTCATGCTCTCGCAGACACGTAATCGCCGAAAAATTGTTGAAAGGAGAACAAGATTGATCTTACTTGGTTTAGCTTTCTCATGGGAATTCAGAAGGTTCGCAGGCGAAGGGAGAGCATGTACATCGCAACTGAACACTGCCCATGCAAGACGTGAGACTGATGCACACGCACTCCCTCTTTTTTGAGCACTAAACAACGGGTGCGAACTGGATTCAAACAGCAACCTACACGGATTCACCTCAACCACTTTGTGGCCACATGAAGAGATAGAAAGAGTTCGAATAGAAAGCCTGGACCAGTCAAGTGTTCGAATAATCTGCAAGGTATCTTTCCCGCAAGATGGCACTGATGCCAACATCAGAAAAACAGTACCTCGCTAACTAACCTTGAAATCAGAGAATCGCGACGGACATCTGCAAGATTCGCACAAAATTCAACCCGCTCGCCCGAACCACAGTGCGACGTTTTTATCATTTTCACGATGACTCTGGTTAATCATCTGGACGACAACCACAGGAACTCCGAATTGAATCGCAGACATCGCAGCAAAGCACGTCGCAGTCGTAGAAGGTTTTGCAATTGAAGAATGCCTTGCACCACACGCCTCAAACATCAAAATCAAGCCTTGCTTGCCTCAACGTCCATGACACCAATCATGTCGCTAAAAGCACATTGGGCAAACTACTTGAGAAGCAACTCTGCGACAAAGGATTGTCTCCAAACCAACTATCTGGCTCACCCCTCTTGCAAAGTGCGTCAATGAACAATACAGTTCTCCAGGTTAGACATGCTATGCCGTGCAAACAAGAAAGCTGTGCGGACACTTTCTTTTTTGTCGGCTTGGGTTGCAGAGTCAGATGCGGTGCTTAAGCGAGTAGGTCAAAGAATGCTGTGCGAGCATAAGCTGCCCCCCACTTTAGCCTGACACTGCAACCCAATGCCCGACGGAAACTACCCCCACCGCGTCAGGGTGCAGTGCGGCCGCTCAGAAGCTGCTGCTGTGGCTCTGACCAAGCAGCTAGGCCCGTCTGTGCGACCGCCGTGCAGTGATACGCTGTGCGATGCCGATGCAAGCTGAGCAAGGCTTATGCGAACCCGCTCTTTAGCGCGGTGCTGCACAAAGGCGATGCGTCCGCGGGACATGGCATCTGCCCATGTGTTCTTATTTTTCCAAACAGAAACCATGCCGAAAGTATCTCACACAGTCTATCGAAGAAATTATTTCATAATATTCTTCGAATCCACTCAGTGATCTCCGATGTTCGTTTCTTTTCCTTCGCACAGCTTTAGGTCTTGCAAGAAGGGGAAAGCTTCGTCGAGCCTCCCGGCCGCCTCAAACGGCCGGGTTAGGCGATATACCACTCCATGGCCGCACAAGCCATGCAAAGTGAACAGGTGCTTGCAGCACAAAACCCCAGAAAAAGGGGTGGGAGGGCGGGAAAATTTTCTTCTCAGCTGTCGAGCCCAGCACTCGAATAGAAGCATGGTAAGAAAATTCAAACATGAAAATTCATGAGGGTCATGAAAACATGAGAAGCTTTCAAAAGGCATTATTTCAAACCAAAGGTTCTTGAAATTTTGTGTTTGGGAAAAAAAGGTGGTTGTCACCTGCGGTGAAATGTCACTTATTTTTCCAAACAGAAACCATGCCGAAAGTATCTCACAAAGTCTATCGAAGAAATTATTTCATAATATTCTTCGAATCCACTCAGTGATCTCCGATGTTCGTTTCTTTTCCTTCGCACAGCTTTAGGTCTT